CACACACACACACACACACACACACACACACACACACAAAAGAAGAAAATTATATTAACTTTAAAAAAAGACATTCAAGAGCAACATTTTTCGTTTTATTTATATTTATATTTATTAATGATTAATTCATTTATTATATGCATATATTTAGTACATTTATAGATTACATTTATAGAAGAATTTTTTAATATCAGTGTATTTAAATTTGTTATTGTATGCATAATCGATTATTTATTTATTTATTCATTAATGCGATTGTGACACAATGATTATTGAATTTTATTACAATGATAGTAATAGTGTATATAATACTTTTATGTTGACTCAATTTATTTGTAAAATTTCATATTAATAGGACAATAATTGAAGAAGCATCTGATTTTCTTATTGATTAATTTAAGTGAGATGCATAATATTATTCTGAGATAATCAGACACATGTATTAAAAAAATTTAATGTAGAATATATTCTTAATTTTCATTATAATGAACATTTTATTAAAAAGTGTAAATGTGTATCCAAATGTACATATACAGTAATATATAATTATTAACTTAAAAGTTGCTTCAAGTTTATAAAAATAATTGCATGTAATATCTCTTTAGAATTTGTCGTCTTTAATATATATTTAATAACTATTTTTGAAAGACATTTTAGTATAATTGATATATTGAGAAAAATCAAAAGTAAATAGAAAAATACTTATGGAATTACTACGTGCGTAGTGAACTGTACTTACACACAATCATTAATTCTTCGATAATGGTTAAAACGAATTAGACGACCGCGCCCATTATTATTTGGAGGGATTATAGTAAATATATCTACGAGCATAATCGGATGTGCTTGAAATTTAATATCTATTATTACCATGAATGTTATGTTTAGTTGTTTTAGATGCATAATTAAATATACATCAATTAAACGACAATAATACATATATAAAAAGGTATAACGTAGGTATATTATTAGTTGTACTTTGTATACGTATAATAATTAAAAATAAAAATGTGTGTTAGACAATAAATAAAAATTCTTTTCTTGCGAAATTTATGTATATGAATTAATGGATATGTATAGAACTGTTCTGAAAAATTAAACTAAAAAAATTAGTTTTATTAATCGAAAAATTGCATTGAGTTTTATTTTATTTTTGTTATGCAGTATAATGAACGTTATATCAAATATATATGCAGCGATTTGATATGTAGGTATTTCACTTCTTAGCGCCAATTGCATTTATATTATTAAATGGTCGCAAACGTCACTTAATTACAGAGCAATTGGTCAACTATTACATTTTGTCGACAAAAGTAACATGGCTGTGTAAAACTCTATAAACGTTACACAAAACATGTGTTCATGGACAATATAAATGCAATATAAATGAGCATGATATTTAATAATATAGAAATAATTGGTATTATGTTGCACTTTGTTAAACTGGATCTGACATACGCACGTACTCTTTATATGTTTATATTTTCACCAATTAAATGCAAATTCTCGGGGAATTTATATTGTTCCGTATTAATTTTCAACAATATGTATACAGTCAAAATCGGTAACGCATTTTGTATCAAGCGTAGGATAAAAGCTGTTTAAATATATTTTCTAGTTATTATTTTACTTCTCTTTCCGAATTGATTAAATACATCTATTTCTGATTGTCAGACATAAGTAGTGTAAGTATAAGTGTGTAAATATAAGTACACTTATTTCTTTGGTATTCTTCTTAACTTATTTCTTTGGTATATTCTTCTTTTTATCAAATATTTAGATATGAAAATTTGAAATTTAAATTAAAAATTTTCCAAAATAAAGCGCGCGTGTAGATACTCGTCATATTTCTTGAACATCCCTTACACATAAATTGACACGACAAAAAGCTCGACGCCACTTGAGTCGATCGTACGGCGGTAAATCTGTAAAATGTGAATGTCGCTTAAAAGCATCAAGTGTCCTGCCACGGATATAGTAAAAAAAGGTTAATTTGGCTCATGATGTGTCGAAGCTTTGCCGATGACAGGAAAAAAACCTCGACAATTTCTATTCAGCCACTATGGGCGAACAAAAGGACAATGCTACCGGATGATTCAGTTTCCTTTCCTGTTGTTTCCTGTCAACCGAATTAAAGAACAAGAGCGCTTTGTCGGAGAATCAATGGAATGCACGAGGCGCGCAATATGCACTCGATAGAATGCCGGCGCAAAGGGCAAAAAGCACTTGTACATTCGATACTGCTGAAATGGAAAGAGAATATCAGCGGAAGGCGACTCTCTTTTTGCATTCTCATATTCTTGCGTATAAGATGATCTGTAATAATCAAAATCCCCAAAATAATTTGCCCCGTGATCGTGAGTTAAAGATTGACGTAACGAATGGCTACAGAATGCGATTTACTGCCGTAGTAAAGCGTTTATTAGCTTCACGAGCATTCACGTCGGCGTCGTAATTGGTCGCTTAACTTTGACATATAACTTGTAAGCATTGAGAACGTCAATTTTTCAACACAAAATTAAGCATTTTAAGCTTAACGGAGTAATTTTCCATTTTACTCGAAATTGTCTCATTATTCCATTGCATACTAAGACGTTTCAAAAATCACATACATTTAGATAAGATAGAGAAAACAAAAATGATAATATGAAAAAATTTCCGACTTAGCTAACGTTAAAAAGATGACGCATATAATTGAAATTCCATGAATTTGGAACTATCTTGTAAAATTATATTATTTTTATTCTTTTAAAGAATTTTTATTTTTTATAAAACCATAATCATTACCGATAGAGTATAATCTCGTCCGACCCTGCTTTCTTAGAATAGATATTGAAAGAGTTAAATAAATAATATCGCAATAAAATATACATTAATACTCTTAAAAAATTTGTTTTTAAATATTTAGCACACTCTAGAAAAAATTTTTCTAATACTATGGCTAACTGACTGACGAAATTAATTGAAAAGAAATTAATTATATATGTCATTGAATGTAAATAAAATATCAATTAAAAAAAGAAATATCTGTTAGTGTGGAATATACGTGACGGATGTACATAAATGCAAAAATGTAAATACGGACATTACATTCATATGCCACATATATGAGAAAATGTAATGCCTTCTCTCTAATTGGTTATGCGTAGTCACATTTACGTCACAGATTTACTTGTGTAAGTCATAGTCGTATAAATGCCTCGACCGTTGTAAACTAAGAATTCAGTCGAGGTCGAGCTCTCGAGTTGGTTAAATCTAAAGAAGTTTTGTCTGGTGAGTATTTGTCGATACAAATTCTAATTCGCCTACTTTGTTATATTCTTCACAAAATTTATAAAATAAAATAATTGAAAATATTGGTTAAATGAAACAATGAGTCATGCATATAGCAAAATTATAAAATTTATTGTAAAACTGTACATATAAATTGTTTACTGTTTATTAAATAGCCGTCAAAAAATCAATAATCAATTTTAATGAAGTGATAACATAAATAAATTTAATCTTTAGAAACTTATTGTATTGTTAATTTATCCAAGATCTTCAATTATATAATTATTTATTTATACTAAATATATATTAAGAAATATTACAGGTGTCATATTGTCACTTATCACTAGTTGTTATAAATTATAAATTTTGATTTATAATTTATCGATTTATGACGATTTTTATCGTGACGTAACAAAGATAAAATATTAAAGTCTACTTAATAAAATAATAATAAAATAAAAAAATAAAATATTAAAGTCTACTTAATAAAATATTTTAATATCGTATAGATTAATTTTAAAAAATTGATAAGTTTAGGAAACAAAAAATGTATATATATATAAAGTATATGTTTTCGAGATAGTAGATGTACGCTAACATTATTAAAGTTTAATTCTAATAAGCAATTCTTTTAATAATTTATTGTTGCTATGCTATTGGATATCACGCATTTGACATATGCTATATTCGCTCACAATTAAAATAATTGTATAGTTTTGTAGTCAATAGCATATTAGGAACTTATTTGTAACAGAATAATAGTAGTTCAAGTAGCAAATTGTAAGGCAATTCTAAAATTCAACGGTTACTTTGTCTATTAAAGAACTAATTGAGTCAGGTCTCGATGATTCATTCACATATACCTGTAATCTGTGCTGTGTAAGTATAAAATTCACGGTCGACTTATATCGCATTATGTAAACTAGATTTCATGAATACTTAGTCTGAACATGTTACGTGCATAAATTGGGAATTAAAATTGAGTATTATAATATTTAAAATAACAAATGAGTCATTCCATTTTTTTTAATACAATTACTATATTCTCGAGTAGTTAAAAATAATTTTGATAGATATTATCTATTTGCAAAGCCTTTTATTATTTCTGAATCTAATTTGTAAAAATTACTTGATTGCAGAATACGACGTTACTGAAAAGATGGCGAAATTGATGCTGTACGTCTTTGTAGCGTTGCTAGCTGCGTCTCTTATCATGGGCGCTCCCGATAAGTCTAACTGCGGTCGACATGGTGACCCTGTTAGTATACATATTCTTGCATGCTTTATTTTTCTGATCAAATCGCTTTCTCTTTCATATTTATTTTTTTTTAAACGCAGTATTGCTATAATCAACAAGGAAAATAAGGAAAATAATTTTGCGTAATGGAATATTAAACGATTCATATGAATCATTTACACGAGAAATTAAAACGCACAGTAAATCAGGAAATTTTAAATACATAAAAAATGTGCATAATTTACCGGTTATATATACCGCTAGTATTGAATAATGTAAAAGTCTACTTAGAATATCTATTTAGAATAACGTAAAATATATTTGTATATGCTTAGAATAACATAACGTAAAATATATTTTTATATACTCAGAATAACGTAAAATATATTTTTATATACTTCTTCAAAGTTTATCTTTTTCTAATTTTTTTATATTGTTTTGATTCGCATGTTTTTAATTTGCATATTGTTGTATAGAATGTCTAGTAAACTGTAATATTGGCAAACAAATAATTTGTCGTAAAAAAGCAAGTAAAAATAACAAATAAATTTTTTATTACTGAAAAGCTTTTATTTTAAATTTTCACTTGTTTTTTCACAAGAAATCTGGTCGTTGATTGTAATGTTATTATTTAGGAAAATTCTGTACATATTATCTTTTCTTTGTATGCGAATATTTTCTTAAAATTGATTTATTACTTTTTACATTCAGATTTACAGAATTATCTATTAATATTTTTCATTATTTCAATTTAAATTGAATTTATATTATATTTATATTTTATAAATAATAGATTATTTATCAAATTTTAGTGCTATTCTGACTCGCAATGCTGCTCCAATATAAAATGTCATCGTTATGCAAACAGATGTCAAGTTCAAATTACTGAGGCAGAATTGATGGCGCAACGTGAGAAGATTTTGGGCCGAAGGGGCAAAGATTATTAACGGATAAGATTATTAACGGATAAGTTTTCAGGGTATTAGAATGGTGATTCTGTTAATCTACAACGATTAATCTATTATGATCTACTTAGATTTGAAGACTGTATTTTTAAAAATTAAATATAACGAATAAC